CCACTCGGGACGTCTTCACTCACTAGCTTGAGTTATGTTTTCGGGCCATCTCGCCTTTGTCAACCACAAAGCTCAACTCTATAAGCTCCGTCAACACTCGCTTCCGTTTCCACTTATATAGGGGAATTTGAGGCTCTTTCAGCTTGAATTCAAGGCCTTAGCACCACCAAGTTACTCAACCGTTTCCTATCCAGACCTCAAAGATGAAATCCAATATGAGCTTTATCTCCTCAAACCTCACTCCTTGCATGAAGCCATGGGCATGGCTAAGCTCATTGAAGATAAATGCACATGCTGCTAGACCTTCCTACTCCATGTTTGCCTTCTCTCGACCACCATCTACAACCACAAACACCAACCTTCTCCTCCCACCACCAATAATCACAAACACCAACCCTCTCATCCTACCACCACACCACACACTACAAAATAAACCTCCACTCCGTTCCCCCACCTTACCACTCAAACGGCTCATGCCTACGGAGATGATCGCTCGCCGAGCCAAGGGGCTCTGTTTTAACTACGAGGAACAATTCACGTGGGGCCAACATTACCATCCTCCCTAATTCCTTTGTCTTCCGGTTGATGTCGACCCTAACCGTACCCTAGAATCGAATGAAATTGTCGAGCCAACTATTGACCTAATTCAGCCCTCATCCGTTGACTACAAACCGATCCTTTGCCTTAGATCTCCTTCCATGCTCTTGTGGGTCGGTCGGTGCCCTCTATTTTCAAGCTACATAGATCACAATTGATGGTGGCGCTCATCGATGACGGCTCAACCAATAACTTTATTCGGACCCACTTGGCCGTGCATCTTGACCTCTCCATTCAACCCTCACCCCATTTAATCATGACAATGGGTAACGACAACTCCTTAGGGTGCAAGGGTATATGTCCGCAAACACCGCTCACCTTAGAGGCGACTACCGTCACCATGGATCTCCTCCTCTTACCTTTTTATAGGGCGGAGGGCATACCTAGTTTTAGGGGTCCTATGGCTAGCTCAATTAGGGCTCATTTTATTTTACTACAAGGCTCTATGGATGGAATTTTCTCATCAAGGTCGCCTACTATGCTTTCATAGCTCGCACCGACCTACTATCAACCTCATCACCACCAATCCACTTAAGAGATTAGCCTAAACCAACTCCATAGCCTAATTTTTTTATCTCTCAATTGAAGAAACACATGCTACCTCTAAACCTAAAATAGCAACCGATGCTTGTCCACCATTTACATCGGCTTTACGGACTCTCCTCTCTTAATTCTCCCCTATCTTTGCTACTCTCATAAGTCTCCCTCCCCTTCATGACCTTGATCATCGCATCCCTCTCCTACCCCAAACACCACCAACTAATTTTCGACCATATCACTACCCCTATTTTTAGAAATTCGAGATTGAGAACTTAGTTGGGGATATACTCGCTACCAAGCATCATCGGACCTAGCACTAGCCCTTTCTCTTCACTTGTTCTCTTCGTCAAGAAGAAAGACGACTCTTAGCGCTTTTATGTCGATCGACGTGCTCTCAATGTTGTGACAATTAAAGACTCGTTTTCTCATCCCAACTATTGATGAACTATTGGACGAGCTTTATGGAGCTCACGTCTTCTCCAAGCTAGATCTCCGGATAGGTTACCATCGGGTGCTTATCCACCCCTCCGAAGTTGAGAAGGTCACCTTCCACACCCATGAAGGCCATTATGAATTTCCGGTCATGCCCTTTAGCCTCTCCAACACACCTTCCAACTTTTAAGCTTTGATGAACTCTATCTTTCGTTCTTCTTTGCAAAAAATTATACTTTTCTTTTTTATGACATTTTGGTTTACGACTCTACATGAGAGTTGTATTTACAACATTGGTAGTGGGTTTTCTCCACGTTACGGTGCTCATTATTTGTTTGTGAAGATGTCTAAGAGTGAATTTGGTCGCTTCCGAACTCAGCTACTTAGGTCACTCCATTTCGAGTACAAATGTTACTACCGAACAGGAAAAAATCTCAACCATCTAGACTTGGCCTCTACCATATTCGATAATCGATCTTCATGACTTTCTAGGACTCACGGGTTATTATCAATGATTTGTACCACATTATGCTTCTATTGCCGCACCTCTCACCCATCTTTTTCTTAAGAATGATTTTATTTGGTCCCCTAAGGCCACTTTGGCTTTTCAAAAATTATAGGCTATCTTGCTCACTCCTTCAGCTTTGGCTCTTCCCGACTTCACTACCCCTTTTGTGGTTCGGACCAATGCCTCTAGGTCGGTATGGGAGCTATTTTATCCCAACATGGTCACCCAATTGCTTATTTTAGTAAAAAAATGTCATTGAGGATGCAATCCATGTCTACTAATGCCGCAAAAATGTATGTTATTATCGAGACGAGTTTGTAAATGGTGGTAGTACCTTCTAGGTCGATATTTCACCGAGCCTTTGCTCCCTCATTTATCAAACAAGTGCAAACCCCGTAACCATAAAAATGGTTAACTAAATTGATTGGTTTTGGTTTTGAAATTGTTTATAAACCAAGCATCGAAAATGGCCTTGTCGATGCCTTGTCGCGTCCGTGGTCGCCTCTCTTTCATCATCTACAGATTGCTTCTAAACCCGTAATGGCAATCTAGGACGCCCGGAAACAATTTTACATCACCAATACTATCACTCGCCTAATTGTTAGCTTCTATTCAAGCTTCCCCAACTTACTTTCCTCACCATTCAATTAAAAATAGCCTCCTTTTCTTCAAGGATAGAGTATTCATCCTTGTCGACTCGTCTTTCAACCCTTGATCCTTCATGAGTTTCATAACTCATCTATAGGTAGCCATGCTCGGCATGCAGAGAACAATGACCCTATTTCTTCTACTTTCTACTAGCCCTATCTTCGCTAGACGATTTGTGATTTTTTTCTCTCAATGTTTAGTTTTTCAAGAGGCCAAACCATAGAGTAAAGCCCTCTAGGCTTGTTACAACCCTTAGCCATCCCTAGTCAAATTTGGGATTCAATCTCACTCGATTTTATCGACCACCTTCCCCTTCGACGGGTAAGACTACTATTTCGATAGTGGTGGACCATCTATCTAAATACACCCACTTCTCGATATTGGGTTCCCACTTTATAGCTCCATAAGTTGCCGATGCTTTTATCAAGAATATTACTAAGCTTAATGGGGTTCCCTCAACCATTGTCTCGGATTGTGATTCAATTTTTATGAGCTCCTTTTAGAAAGAACTATTTTGGCTCCAAGGAAGAACACCGGCTACAAATAGTGCTTACCATACTCAAACGATGGCCAAATTGAGGTTCCGAACCATGGTTTATAGGACTATCTATGGTGCTTTTTTGCTAACAATTCATGCAATTGGTCGGCTTACCTTCCCCGGGCCGAGTGGCATTACAACACTTGATGGCATTCAGCCATTAAAATGACCCTATTCGAAGTCGTTTTTGGCAAGTCCCCTCCTTCCCTTCTTGATTATGTCCAAGGGTCTTCAATGGTGGCCTCTCGTAGATGAACTCTTACAAACCCGCACTTCTATTCCGTCCACTCTTCGCAATAATCTTACTCGCGCATAGACTCGAATACACAACCAAGCCAACTCCGGTCGCTCGGATGTCAACTTCTCTCGTAAATGATTGGGTATTTATGAAATTGTAGCCATTTCACCAATCCATGTTGGCATATCGTCAATCCAACAAATTAGCCAAATATTACTTTAGCCCCTTTTAGGTCACCGCCCGCATTGGCAACGTGGCATACCGTCTAGCTTTACCTCTTTCTCGCTCGAATTCATAATGTCTTCCATGTTTCTAAGTTAAAGTTGTATAAAGGTGATTCGCTACATCACCAAGCTCCTTTACCCCTACAGTTCCTTGTTCTACAACCTCTCCTTACCCCTTTCAAGTTCTTAGGATTCCATAGCATTCTCCTATATGGCATACCACAACAATAAGTCCTCATTCAATGGTTTGGCCAACTCCGCTTCGGATGCCACTTGGGAGCTAGTTCAGGACATTTTTCATGACTTTCCTTCTTTTAACCTTAAGGATAAGGCCCATCTTGATGAGTAGGGTACCGATGCAAGCCCAAGCCGAGACCCGAATACCAGTGGACTTCCACCAAATCCTCCCAAAGTCAAAAGAAAAAGCCACCATTTGTCTAAGAAACCACATAAGCTTGATGATTATATATAAAGCCAAAAAAGTATTGTTATAGTTTGTTACAAAAAGGGATGATGAGTTTGTTACAAATGCTTTGTATGAGCCGGGCAATTCGTTAGAATCGCCTATAAAGCCGATGATGAAATGATGAGAAATAACAAGAAATATTTCCACCGTTCTTCCTTCCCTCCCTTCTCCTTCTACCTTTCTCTTTTGCCATATTTGACCAAGTTTCCGAAGTGCCATTTCAAATCTCTCCATTTCGTAACTTTGTGCACCGCTCGTGGAGTCTAGTGCATCAACCTCCCTTGACCTTTGAACAACAAAAACTAGCTAGCCCTAATCTTTGTATTTTGGTCTTAATTTGTACTTTATTTATTTGGGATGGATCTCATCCCTTCATCTATGCTTCATTCATTTTAACAAACTCAAATGCACATAATTGATTTATTGTTTTAAGTCAAAACGTCATGTTGTTTTGAGTAAATGTGAGATTCTTTTAATTTGTCAACGAATTGGAGCTAGCTTGATGTATGAAGGGGTCACATTAATTAATTCAAAAAAAAACTTAGTATAATTAAGGGATTAAAAAAAAAAATTTTACTCGGAGAACAAGTTCCCTTTGATTAAAACAAAATTAGAAGAGGTTTGGGCAAATTAACATTTAATTATTCATAAACTTTATGTCATCGATCTCAAGTTATTTTGCCTATGTATTGTCGCTGGATCTTACATGTGCCACTCCATGATATTTGAAATATTGTCATTTCTAATAGTTAATTATGTCTTCCATATGATCGAGTTGTAGCTTTGGCCCCTAATGTTCCAAGCACTTTATGAATTGCATTTTAGTGTTCCAATGGTCAGGGCGTTCTTTCGCGCTTAACACCGGGATAGATGCATCCACATTGGCATTGGCATTAGAACAATTAGAGGCCAAACTCATTTTTGTGGATTACCAGTTCACCGATGTTGCACTCAAGGCACTAGAGCTACTCTCGCTTAAAAATGTCAATCCACCCCAACTTGTGGTAATCCCCAATGGTGACAAATCGACTTCTTCAATGGACCAAAAACACTTACTCCGTAACTTGAATTACAATGGTCTTCTTGAAATGGGGAGAGATGATTTTACAATAATTCGACCAAATAATGAATGTGATCCAATTTCGGTGAATTATACTTCGAGTTCAATCGGGAAACCTAAAGGAGTAGTTTACGATCATAGAGCCGCCTACCTCAATTCCTTGGCGTAAATATTTCGATTTGACATGAGACAAATGCCGGTGTTTCTATGGACAAGTGGACATGTTTCGATGCAATGGATGGTGTCTTACTTGGTCAATGGCTGCCGTTGGTGCTACCAATATCCGCCTTAGAAATGTCTCAGCAGAAATCATATTTGATGCAATATCACTTCACAAGGTAACTCACTTCGTGGTCCGCCGACTATTTTGAGCACCATTGCAAATGCACCGACTAGTCATCAAAGTCCACATCCATGCAATACTATTAATGTAATTATAGCTAGGTCCATTTCCAAATCCGGAGATTCTTACCAAGGTTGAAGGATTGGGATTTAGTGTGTATCATGGTTATGGGATGACGGAGGTCCTTGGTCCATCAATTGTTAGGCCATGGAAACCCGAATTGGATTCTAATTTCGGAGGTGAAAAAGAAAAAATTAAAAATCGTGAAGGAGTGCATAACCTTTTGATTGAAGGGGCTGATGTGAAGGATCCAAACACCATGGAAAGCGTACCAAATGATGGGAAAACCATTGGTGAGGTGATGTTTAGAAGCAACATTTTGATGTCGTGGTACCCGAAAAATTCAGAAATTACTCAAAAAGCTTTTAGGGGCGGATGGTATCACACAAGAGACCTTGGTGTTAGGCATCCGAATGGTTACATAGAAATGAAGGACCGAGCTAAAGATATTATCATGTCGGGGGAGAGGCTATAAGCACATTAGAGGTGGAAGCAGTGTTGTTAAGTCATCCAAAGGTTTTAGAGGCTGCTGTCGTTGGACAACTCCGATTCTCTTTTGAATGAGGTCCCATGTGCATTTATTAAAGTGAAGGAAGGTTTTGGTGCTAGTGCTGACGAGATTATTAAGTTCCGTGGTAATCAATTGCCACACCATATGATTCCAAAGACTATCGTTTTTGAGGATTTACCAATCAATTTCTCCGGAAAGGTGCAAAAATTTACTATGAGGGAGAAGGTCAATGCCAGCACCATACTCGCCAATTGTTGAAGGTAGTTTGTTAATTGGCATGACATGAGGTAGCACATGCCAATGCGAGTAGCACATGCCAATGCACACTCGTTTTATTTGGTATATTTAGCATCCGTATGATGTTGGCGTGTATTGTTCTTTTCTCCTATTTGATTTTGACTACACAATGAAGTTGCTCATCAATCTCCAATAATCTATAGAAAAACTCTTACTTTTATCTAAATGAGATTGATGGATTTACAAATTGAAATTCTTAGCTAATATTCACCACGACTAATTTTATATTTTTTTATTTTATAAAATTTTTTATTTTCTCGTCATTTTTAACATTTTTATTGATTTTTTCTTTTCTATCTCTTGAAAAAAATCAAAATAATTTGAAAAATTGTAAGGACTAAACAATCGGTGTTTTTTTCTTTAAAACCAGAGAAACTAATTAATTTGTTTATCAAAATAAAAGAGATTAATTTATAATTTACTCTTAGTTTCATGAGTCTCCCATGCATAAACTAGTTAAAAATTGTCTTCTCGGCCATTACCAAATGAGTAATCTTGAGCAAACGACTCTTTGCTAACTTTTGATTGGTTAACCCTAAAGGATCCTAACTTTATAACCTTGGTTTTCTTTAAAATTGTACATTCAAATGTTAAATATCTCTCAAGTAGATACAAAAATTCAAAGATAAAAATAAAAGAACATAGTACTTAATTGCATACGGAAAATATCCTTATTGAAAATAGTCGTAAAAGGAGGAGGAGAAAGAATTAATCATTTAGTGCTTTTATAACCAATACAATGACTAACTATTAGTTTTCAACGATCATGTATATTCCGATAAACATCTTATTTGAAAACATTCTCTTCATTTCATTTAACTTATTATCTAATTAGATCATGTGTTTCCAACATCAAATTGTCGATCTTTTTCAAGTTCTTCTATGTAAATGGACTCATCATTCATATCATTATCATATTCCTCTTAATCAACCTCTAGTAATTAGTTGGTAAGGAGATTAATAGAGGTGTTAGCTGCATATGTTCTTCCCAATGCTTTCTTTACTACTCGAGCATTCAAAACCTACTCATATCACAATGTCATGTTTCTTTACTACTCGAGCATCTTCATATCTTTGACCAATGAATTTCTTTTAGATTGACCAATTTATGTCTTTAAGAATCATATGGACATAGTCTCGCTTTGAGCAAAAAAGCCGCACATTATATCTTATTTGTTATCTTTTGAGAGTAAGCATGCATTGTTTCACTAGGTTGTTGGACAAGGTTGGCTAGATGAGCAATAATTACTTATGATTATGTGCCATAAATGTGTTCGTTGAACTTCTTTTACGTATTTGTCCAAGTGTGGATGGAGTTCGGAGGTGAGGAAGTCTACAAATGAAAAGTTGTTTTGAATAAAAATAAATAAAAAAATAAAAAATCCAAAAAGTTTGAGCCGTAAGTATCATTGGAAAACAATGAAGCAAATTAAACAATCCAACTTACTAAAATAGAATTCAGTCTCTCACCTAACTTATTATTAGGCCATTAAAGTCCACTTAACAAAGTAAAAGTCAAGATTTAAAGCTTCTTCACAAATTAAGCAATCTAAGCCTCATACAAAAAATGTGAAAAAATAAAATAAAACAAATTCGGATCGGATGCCTAAATTCACATGCCAAACCATGCAATAAAAATTACAAGTCTAAGATAAAAATAATTTTTAAAAAAGAGTACAAGTCTTGAGTCCATATCAATTTATCATGTCATTTTAAAATACTAAATCTAAAAATAGATTTGTAAGAAGACAAAATTAGTAGCACAAGAGGGAAAAAAATGTAATGAGAATAAAAATAAAATATGATGATGATGATGATGATGATCGTAGTAGTAGTAGTAGTAGCGATAGCAGTAGTATTAGTAGTAATGTAATGAGAATAAAAATAAAATATGATGATGATGATGATGATGATTGTAGTAGCGATAGCAGATAGTAATGTAATGAGAATAAAAATAAAATATGATGATGATGATGATGATGATCGTAGTAGTAGTAGCAAGCAGCAGCAGTAGTAGCAGATAGCAAAGGGAAAAAATGTAATGAGAATAAAAATAAAATATGATGATGATGATGATGATGATGATCGTAGTAGTAGCGACGAGTAGCGATAGTAGCGATAGTAATGTAATGAGAATAAAAATAAAATATGATGATGATGATGATGATGATCGTAGTAGTAGTAGTAGCAGTAGTAGCAATAGTAGTAGTAGCGATAGCAGATAGTAGCGAGTAGTAATGTAATGAGAATAAAAATAAAATATGATGATGATGATGATGATGATGATGATGATGGTCGTAGTAGTAGTACCAGCAGCAACGTAAGTAGTAGTAGCAAGATAGCAGATAGTAGTAGTAGTAGCGATAGCAGAGGGAAAAAAATGTAATGAGAATAAAAATAAAATATGATGATGATGATCGTAGTAGTAGCGAGTAGTAGTAGGAGCGACAGTAAGCGATAGTAGCGATAGTAATGTAATGAGAATAAAAATAAAATATGATGATGATGATGATGATCGCAAGCAACAACGAATGCAGACGAGCATACAAATTGGTCAATAAAATTAAGCATAAGTGCAAGGCCTAATAAAATTAAGCATACAAGTACCATAAACCATGTAAAAATGACTCCATAAAAATAACAAGTTGGTCAATTATTTTGTGTTTGACTATTTTATTTTTCTCACCATAAGAAAAAAATGTTAGTCTATTGCTAATTTCATTATCGACCAATAGTTTCTCATGACCCTATTATATATATATATATATTTTAAGCAAGTTATATTTTTTACTCATGCCAACCACAAAACCGGACTTATAACTTTGTAAGATATGCCAACCACAATTAAAGATCTTCAATTGACTTATTTTCAATTAAGCCCAAATTATATAATTCAATTTTCCCAAATCATCCAAATCTATGGTGATCATAAATGCGAATGAAATTAAATCATAATTAAAGAATTAGGGGGACTTAATTATATACCTCATTCGACAAAACGAGGATCGAAATATAGGATTGAAAAAAAAAATAGTTACCATAGGGCCACTTTTTTTTCAACAAAATTAACAATTACTAAATGCATACAAACATTGGCATAAATTTAGAAGTTCGAGAGCACATTCGATATTCGGTAATATTTCGGATCATCGGAGATTATTCATGCATATGCCTTTAAAGAAATGGAGCCGTAATGGATATATTTTATTTTATTAAGATGGAGCTTGAAGACTTACCGAAATCTCGTTCACGAGATACTCGTTTTTTATTTGGTTGAAAATAAAGTCTGCAGATAGTAATCAAAATAAGTTCGGATTCTTTCGTAAATTAAAATGAAAAAAAAAAAAACAGTTTCGGTATAAAATATAGGGCCTTTAAAAAGAAAAGGAGTAGATAAATAATATCTTAGACTTTCTTAATTATTTCAGAAATCAAAACTTAATTAGTCCCTTAACTATTTACATTAATGTATGGTTAAATATCCTTCAAAAACTCTTATTTCTTAGCAATATCCAAGTCCCACGAGTATTGTCAATTTATATATTTCTTGAAAAAAAAATTATTGGTTTGGAAAAGTTAAATCCCTCAAAAGTATTTTGAATTTTAAGTCAAATTCGGATCATTTTTTAATTTTAAAAAATTTTAATTCGACTATTATGAATTACTTTTAAGTTAAAAAAAAGGACCATTTTGTCAAGGTTTCTATTCATCAATTAATAAAAATATGAAATGTGTTTTGATTGAAAAGAAATCAATAAAAATTTAGGCTATCAAATCCAAATTAACACATCAACAAAAAAAAAAAAAAAAAAAACAACTGTTTGTATTAAAAAATAATTAAAAATACAAATATAAAAATAAATATATAAAATTGAACAAGAAACATATCCGTTCAGCCGTACCTAACCCAATCTAGATTCAAGGCACCCTTCATTCCGAATTAAATTCTAATTTCACCTCTTCATTTTCTAACCATTCACTCTAAGGCCAATGGCTAACATTTCCAATTTTATCTCTTTACCTTTGAAAGAGAATATCAAACCACAATATCTCATAATTTTCAAATAAACCCAATAGCTATCCACCACCAACAACTATTACCACAGACCACCCAATCGTAAATCCACGCCCATCGCGTTCGAGAAACTCACCATTGCCATTAACATCAAAACATACCATCACATTTTAAAATAAAAAACTAGTACCAAATCATTTTTTTAAAAAAATATCAAAATGAATTGAACAATTACCATTGTTGATGTTGGAGGATAAGATAGAAGAAGAAAAAGAAGAAGATAAAATTGAGCTAGCAGTATCCAATGATCAACTACTGCTACAACCATCAATGACTTTTAACTATCTCCACGAACAAGTTCTATCCATCCAAAGATTCTCATTGTCTACCCATTTAATTTTGAAATATAAATTGGCTGGATCTATATTATATGAAGAATCTAGTAATTATTTTATTTTTGGATGAACTTTGAAAATAGAAAATTTTGTTGTGAGATTTTGTGTTTAACTTTACCACTACGAATGAGAATGAATCATTGTCTTAGTGAATGAACTTAACTAAGTTTTTATTTTTATTTTTAGTCTTTTTCTTATATTTTGTCATTTTTATGTAATTTTCTATTTTTTTCTTTTTACTTTTATTTGTATGTAAA